TGATTACTTTTTTCCTGCATTTCGGTCTTACTTTTTTTTTTTCTTGTTTTGTAATTTTTTTTTTTTTTTTTACATTGGAGTCTCACTCTTTGCCACCCAAACTGGAGTGCAGTGGCATGCTCATGGCCACTGCAGCCTCGACCTGCTGGGCTCAAGCAGTCCTTCCACTTCAGCCTTCCAAGTAGCTGTAACTACAGATGCACGCAGCACACCAACCTAGTTTTTGTGATTTATTGTAAAGACGAGGTCGCCAAGTTGCCTACGCTGGTCTCAAATCCCTGGACACAGACAATTCTCTTGCCTCGGTCTCCCAAAGAGCTGGGATTACAAGCTGAGCCACTGCGCCTGGCCTTGTTTTATAATTTTCATTGTTGAAAACAGGACATTTCAATAAAATATGGCAACTCTAGAAAAATTTCTCTCCTCCCAGGGGTTGTTGTTAAAATTTGTCCAGTGAGTGTTTTTTTTTCAGTTGAAGTCTCATTCTGTCAGCCAGGCTGGAGTGAGTTGGCATGTTCACTGCCACCGCAGTCTCCATCTGCTGGGCTCAGGTGATCCTTCCGCTGTAGCTTTCAAAGTAGCTGGTACCACAGGTATATGCCACCATGCCCAGCTTATTTTTTGATTTATTGTAGAAACAAGGTCTTGCTATGTTGTCCAGTCTGGTCTCGAACCCCTGGGTTCAGGCAGTCCTCTTACCTCTGCCTCCCAAAGTGCTGGGATTATAGGCATGAGCCACTGTGCTTGGCCTGTCCAGTCACTTTTTAAAACAAATTCAGTAGTGCCTGTATTTGTTGTGTGTGGCAGCTGAAGTCTCTGCAGAAATTTCCTTAAATGCCTGAAACCAAGCAAGTATCTCAGTCTTTAGCAGGGGCCTTGTGAGTGCCGTGGCATTTCTTCCGCAGTCATCCAGGCCATATACTACTCTGTATTAGTCTTCACTTCCTGCTTTCTCCAAACCTTAAGGTCACTCAGAAGTGACAGCTTATAGCCTTCCCATGTCCTTCCTGAGCATATCACAGTCCTGGGCATATTCTCAGCTCAGTGCATATAGGCGGGCTTCTCAATGCTCAGGAATATATCAGAGTTTTTCAAAACCTTTATGGACAGTTCATCCGTCAGCTTGACCTTTAAATAAGCTTTTTAAGCTTTTTATTAGGTGATTACTTATCCCAACAGTTTATCCACCACCCCAGGTAGCAGGTAATTTTCAATTTTTTTTTTCAATTGAAGTCTCACTGTGTCATCCATGCTGGAGTGATATGGCTACTGCATCCTCAACCTGCTAGGCTCAGGTGATCCTGCCATCTTAGCCTTCCTAGTAGCTGAAACTACAGGTGTGTGCCACCACACCCAGCTAATTTTTTTGTTTATTGTGAGATGAGGTTTTGCCAAGTTGCTCAGGCTGTTCTTCAACCCCTGGGCTCAGGCAGTCCTCTGGGATTACAGGCATAATGTATAAAATTTTTTTGTTATAAATATTCTTGTGTAGATTGCTTGAGGGCTTTGATTAACTTGCAGAAAAAGTTGATTCTGTAATTGCTGCCAGTTTTTCATTACTTTTATGGAAGAGAGAATATTCTCAACTTCAGTATTTTTGCTGATATCACTTGTTAGCTTGAATTTGAAGTCTCTTGGCATAGAAACTTTTCCTTTTCTTAGTTTCTAGGAATTTATCCTCTGGATTCTATTACTATTTTTCAGAAACCTACTTCTCTGACTAGTTGCCTGTACATCTTCTGCCAGCCTCTTTAATATATGTGGTC